GCCTGCAGTCGAACAGAAGCCACGGCCGCAGTCGCAGCGAGCGTGGTGACGGCTGCCAAAGCCCACACCGCATTGCCTTCAGGCTCATGTTTCACCCAATGTCCCACCCAGCTTTTTCATACCGTTTCCTCGACAGCTGTGGCCTGGGAGTCCAGGTCTACCATGGTGTTCTCTCACTGGCCGACTGACGTAAATGTTTGCACCCAAAGTTATCTTCAGGCCGTCTATGCCCTGCTAGCAGACTCACACCATTGAGCTGCAAGGAGATGCTGCAAGAGGTATGCTTCCGCATGTGAACCATGAACACACGCACTAGACTTTGAGCTGGACCTGCTTCCCACCTTCACATCTTCAGCTCCCTTCAAGACGAAAACCCGTGACCCTGGCCTGCCCCACGCTTCTTCTTCGTTCCCTTTGCCGGCATGGCGGCAAGCGGACCATGATGTAGCGGGGCGAGAGTACTTGGTGCGCTTCTGTTCGAGTTTGTTGACTAAGCAATTCCAAAAACTGGACGATAGCCGACGAAGGTCCTCATCGTTGGCCGGTCCGTGATGCAGCCCTGCGCTGCCGGTTGCAGCTGGTGGTAAGTTGAGATCATGATTCTGACAGCAAGCATATTGACAAGGAGCTTCCGATTGGAACTGCTGGCAGTGCAAGTGCAGGGTTACGCAAGCGTGCAGACTGTGGCACTCGTACCGAGAAGAGTTGCTAAAGGTTTCTACCTGTGCCTTGCACTAAGAGCCAAAACGAAAGTCACAAGCACGCGGAATGTGATGGCAAGAGTTGTGGCATCTGCCCAGTACAGGAGCCATAAGCGTCGGAATACCAGAACGCTCAAATCCAGCTGGCCTGACTTCTGCAGTCCCCTGCCTCCTTGTTTCGAGCAGTCCTCGTGCGAAAGATGACATGGTCGCGTATCCTCTGTATTCCTCTGTTGCTCAAGCTGCCCTGCCCATGGTATAGTAGACTGGTGCCACCCTTGCTGCAATGCTTTAGCATATACTCGAAATGGGCCACATGAAAACTCCTTGTCGATCTACTCTTGGTCCGAAGCCCTCAACTCAGATCACCCTTGTGTCTTGTGTCCTCGGAGTTGCAGCACCGAGCAGATCACGACCGAAAAGGTCGCGAGTGCGCCCATTGCCCAACCTGGAGCACACTCGTCTGAGTCTGTAAAAACACCCATGAATGTCACTTCAGCTGTGTGGCTTGGGGCTCATGAGCGATGCCCAAATTAAGGACGTTCAAGGTTAGTAATGTTTAACATTAAAGCAACTTGTTGTTCAGATCTTTAATCAACACCTTTCAGTGTGTTTCAATCACACGCACTGTGGCAGGACAGCACGGCACCATCAATGTTCTTTGCCAGCCATGATTTCCGGACACGTGCTCGTTGTCTCAGGCAAGACGACGCAGCACGCGTCAGGATTTCATCGTGCACCATGATACGATGCAAAGTCTCTGCAGCGATCCACCTTGGCCATGGTCACCCTTGTAATCTTCGCGCCGGTGGATCGACTAAGAGGCACGGATCCGTCTTTGCACCTCGTCTGGGTCAATGCCATTCGCGATTTCACAGACACAAGCAGCCGCTATATCGAGAGAAGATGCACACCTCGAGACCTGACTCTCCCTGTCGTGCTGCCGTCCATTCACCCGACACAACCACACCGTCCATCAATGAACCGGAGTGCGATGGAGTCCGCCTTTATGTCTGCGGTTTCAGGTATGGGCAACAAAACTGACATCAAGTCGTCCTCCCCAAATTGCCAAGAAATCTCTCGAGCCCGGGTTCCACGACCCACTCGCAATTCCAAAGGCTCTACTGGATCACCGCTTCCCAGAGAGAATGAAGACGTGTTCACCACCGGGGCAAGTTTAGTTGCCACTGCGCGGGCCAAGGGCCGAGGGTCCTTGGGTCGATGCCGCTGCCAGATGTTCACCAAGAGCGTCGTGCGTGATGGCTTCCTTCGCCTTTGGGATTTACCAAGGCATTGGACCTCGGCGGACCCAAAGATCTCCCGCAGCTGTGCAGGCGCTGCATGCAGTAGTCGCCCATCAAAGCAGATGTGCTTTCCGGGCACTGGCAAACTCAGGTGCGCCCTGGCTACCATTGCGCCTTTCCCGGCCAAGAGCTCAGTCTCGAAGCAGTCTTCGAGGACCGCTGTAGGTGCAACGCTGCCACCAGCTTCGAGGTATGTCACAGTGCCAAGGAGAGGATGCTGTACGTCTCCGCGCTCCCGAGCCTCGTAGTCGGCGTCCCAGTGCCAGCCCACATCGTCATCCTTAGTGCTTCGATGATTATTCTTCGGATTGCGAAGTTGCAACAAGAAGTTGCGGAACTCTGAAGCAAGTCAGCTGGGTATCCTCCCCATCCAGCCAAAGAGTCCACCATTCACTTCCCAGGACCTCCAGACCAAGCCTTCTTTGGTGCCACGAGGTGATCTCTGCAACCAGCCTCAGTGAGCAAGTCAACACATGAATCCCGGTTTTCAAGCAGGCTCCTTTCCGCGACTCACGATGGCTCCATGCTGTAAGCTTAACGGCGGTATAAACCTCCAACATCCTGTTTTGCACGAGGAACTGCTCCAAACCGCAGCGGGGCTCAGTGCCTGCCGACAACCAAAACGTCTGGCCTGCACTCTCGGAGTCCTCCTCCGCTTGAGGGTCGAGTAAACATTAGCGCTTCGGAGGATGCCAAAGGGTCTTCTCTTCTCCAGGCTGCAGAGCTTGGGATTCGGATTTTGCCGATTCCGACCCCGACCCTGAGTACCTTCCCGGTCTTTCATATTCGAACTTCCATCGAAATATCTTACGTTTCGGGTACTATCAGCTCAGCTGATAGTCGAGCTCCAGCTTGGGCTAGCAAGACTGTTGCCGGAAACATTGGGTCTAAAGGAAAGTTTAAAGTGTCTTGCAAATGGGAAGAATTGGCCAGTGAACCACATAAATGATCATAGATGGTCCTTGGCAACGCTGCGGGCGCTGAAGACACGGCGGCAGTCATCCACCAGATCAAACCCTCGGGTTGCTTCTTGCAGGGTCGTGATGGTCAGGATTTGGGCGCTTAGTTAAAGGACCCTCCGGCGTCTCTCCAACCTCCTTTCCGCATCTTCCTGTTATGGCTCCGATACTTTATTCCTCCCTTCGTTTCCCCTTCGGCAGGGGGATGTGGCGTCTTGACACGACTCAGACCGGGGTTAACGACGGCTTCATTTGTGAGAGCCTGCGCCATGAGACCGCTTTTGAAAGGCCATGCTGTCGAATACTCGGCAGGATCTCTCGTGTCTGCAGCAAAAGAGGACCCATGGTTGGAGTGCTTGGCGATTCAACTCTTGAATGTTGATGGTTTCTGATGTCAGCAACGGCCAACTTCACCCCACCACAAAAGACAGAAGGGCGTCTGGCATAAATCCTGCTGCACATGCTCAGGCTGCTGAAATGATCTGCATCGACTAAGCAGTAAGGTACCAGTCGTACATCTTTGTTGCGAGATGATCTTCCTGAGGCCCTGGCTAGAACGTTCAGACGGAAAGCGCAAGCGCTCAGGGAAGCTCTCGAAGATGGGAGGCATTGTAGATCATTGCGGCATGAGGGCATGCAAGCTGCAAAAACGGAGAAGCACTGGTGCTGAACTCGGAGCTACAGTTTGCATGGAAACCCCGGGCAGACGGCATGATGTGCTATGATCTCAGGCACCAAGACAAACTCCCGAGAGCTCTTATCGTAACACTCTGAGCGGCCTCTCTATGCAGTATGCATGATATTTCTCACAGACACCTCAAGTCAATCTCCGCAACATTGACGAGTGAGGTCAAATCCAAGAGCCAAGCAAATACAAGTTGCGCTTGATTGGACTCTCGGCTGCGAACTTGACAGTCCTATTCAGAGTCAAACATCACGCAGTCCCCCCCTAGGCTGGGCTTGTCCACGCTGCTACGCAGACAGAAGCTGCCGGAAGTACTTCACACTGATGACACACGTTCGGGCTGGTTTAGGTCTAGGTGCAAGGCCAATGCCTACGGCAAGAAGACGCTGTCTGGTTAAGGAGGCAAATTTAATTCTCAGTTTCAAGTTTCGATTGGCTTCTGATTTCCTTAAGAAGGGGACTTCTGGAACCTCAAACTGGCAACGATTACTGCCTCAGGCGTTGAGGACGCCCGCGCACTTCCTGGCCACGCGAAGTCGTGTTCTCCTGGCACCAGCTGGAGGCCGGAATGTGCCGTACTGCGGAAGGAATAAGTCTGGAGGACAGAGCAACAAAGCAAGTCGACAGCAGCGAGCTTCACAATTCTTGCTGGGCACAAGACGTTGATTTCGCGGGCTAGAGCCTGTCTGTCAGCTTGTTCAGTAGTCAAGTCGCGCGGACAGCAGAGCTAGCTTTTTGACACGACCAGCGCAAGGTCTCGTCCCATGTGTCCATTTCGACCTCCAAGAACATGCGAGCAATCCGGGCAACATCCTTCGACAGCACTACTTCTACTTCGAGCTCCAAGCGTCAGTGTTTGACCCTGCGGGCCTTCAGCGACACGCGCGGAAATAGTCCTTGCAACGAGCATGTCTGTTAGCACCGGCTGCCATGCACCAGTTGGACATGTTTTCAACTGCCTCTAGCACATAGACAGAGTGCAGCGGAGCACAGCCGTGGAGAAAGATCGCAGCACATGGCTCAGTGACATAGTATCATCCACCAAACTTTTTCGTGAACTACCGCAAAACTTCCAGCCCGCTCAATGAACCAGTGGTTGAATCGAACCAAGTGGCGGTGGAACTGGCAGCAAACTGCCAGGCAAGAAATGCACAGTGTGTGAGTCGCATACAGCCGCACGGCGCCAAAGGTTGTGGATTGTCTGTCGGCTGCCCTCTCCTGTTCACACATGTACAAAGCAGCTGCTCTGTGCTTACAATCCTGGCCATGCCTATGCAAGAAGTGATAGGGCCAAGTGCTCAATCGAGTCAAATGAACTGGTCCAGAAACCTGATTCTGGCTCGCAGCGCTTGTGGCCACGGACAGCAAAGCCATGCGCTCGGCATGCTGCGACCTCATGTCTGGATTTGACTGAAAAGTGCTGCCGACGGGCTTGGAACCCTCCAAACTCGGACTCACAGCTTGAAACGGGACTCACAGCTCTAGCGGGGATGTTCTTCATCGTTGACAGAGAAAGGCATGGAGCCCTCAACCACCGAATTTTGCATGCAAGCTCCAGATTTCTTTCAAGTTCGACCTGTTGTGATGACAGCCCGAACAGAGAACACTCATCTAAAGCGCTCAACATTGCTGCCGCTGAGCACTTTCACAAGAAGCTTGAGCTGCTCCTTGTGCAAGCCAAGGTTTGTACTCTTCGGGGCAGGACCGCACCAGATGCATCTCACACAAAACACATCAACAACACGCAAACCTAGCTACAATGGGCTTACTGTAAGAAAGCCTGCCTGGCAACATCATGCGCTTCGATCTCGGGTCTTTGGCGTCGAGTTTCTTAGTTCGTTGTGGTTTGCAATCTCTTGCAGCCTCAATGCTGGCACTTCTTGATTCTTGACATCGTCAGGAGTTTCCGGCAACCTCGCCACGGAACGCCATCCGAGAGCCGAAAACGGTTCAATCAAGACGGATGACAGGGGTCAAAGGTCCAATTTACATGTTGCTGACACCTCCACGATGATGGCATGAAGTACTTACAGACCCAACCGTTTGTCAAACGCAGATGCAACGAGGAAAGGCGTACTTATAGACAAACAAAAGAAACACGTACCTGGATATGTACTCAAGCACGTATGCATAGATATTTCCGCGTAACTGCTTGTCTGCCACTGCCTGCTTTTCTGTCTCCTGTCTCCCGCTCCATGCTGCGATTACGGAGATGCCTACTATGGTCATCATTGCCAGCTATCTGTTATACTAGTAAATTACGAGTATGATTACTAGTAAATATAGTAAACTCCTAGCGTGATTACCATGTTATTTCGCAGCCGTTGCCCGGGGCCGGGCGGTCCATTTTCCTGGGCGGCCCGGCCGGTCGTGCTCGCGGAAGACGGGCAACAAGCGCTGCTCCAAGGCCAGGCCTCCCTGAACCTGCACACCGGATCGATGCACCGCTGCGACAGGATGATGCGAAATGATGTTTGTGTGTGTCTCCACATAAAAGCGCTTCTCAAGAATTCCTTCATCTCAGAACGAGCTTCTTGACGAAAAAACACTCTCTTGCTCGGAACTCACGCGAGACCAGTGGAGATGATGGAGCACTTAGCTACACCATGCCACACCTATGCAGCGATGTTAAGCGAGAGCATAAAAAGCGGCGTGGTCCGCTGCCGCGCCACAATTCGTTCCATGTGCGAATCTGCGAAATCAGCACAATGCAAACTGCTAGGGACCCTGGAGTTGGAGCATCAATTATGGATCTGCGAATCCCTTCTACATCAAATCATCGCAAAGATGCTGAATCCGTCGTCCAGCTGGCAGCGAAGGCTGTGCAGCGGCCAGGAACTCCCATAGATAAGCCTCCAAAATGCATTTCGCTATGCTGTGTCCTTGTTGTGCAACAGGATGTCTTTCTGGGCGTTGCAGTCCAATTCTCCGTCACAGGAACAGACGACGCAGGTACACACGACAGTGACACAAAGCTGCCGGATGTTGTAGGTTCCAGTGCCAACACTCGTCCGCAAGCAGTATACGAGTAAGGGCCTGAGGTGTCAGCTTGCATGTTGAAGGCGAGCCAGGAAATAATGCTTTGGCTGCTGACGTCTAAGTCCTGTCAGGTGAGCCACGGTACTTTCGCAAGCAACCTCGCTCACTATCTCATGCCATCTGCACACAGGTGAGCCGCACAGCAAGTCCTCATTGAGCAGCGCGTCGGACAGTTCTCGACGAGAGGCACGACGTGCTGAACCCCGCCAACGTCCAGAAGAACTGAAGGCCAGCTGGCCCTGCAAGACCTGATCTATCAAAGCTCTGCCAAGTTCAATTGCTGGCCCCAGAAATGAGCCACCCGTGATGGCTTGTGTTGGCCAAACAGTTGCAATGACAGCTCAGTCTCCGCATCCCCCTTAGCGAACGAAAGGACGCGTAGTCCTCCCTCGCCCCATGCACCAAAGTTGAAACCGGGCCTCTGTCGTGTAGACCCAGCCTGCACAGCGACTGGAAAACACACACACACACAGAGAAAGGCTCACCCTATTTATTCGGGCTACCATGATCCAATCACGGCAAGCCCCTGCAAATAACAATCAACGCTTGTCTGCTCTGTGTCAGTTCGGTTTTGCCTCCTGCTGCGCCTACTTGAGCATCCACGCAGATGACTCACCAAAAGATTACACCAGCGATGGATAAACCCGAGGCCGGCCGGCCTAGGCTCGGCTGCAACTCCAGAAGAGGTTCGTGCAGCCGCCAAGAGCCTGCTGGGTTGCCGAAGGTCCCACCGCCGGAGTAGCGTGTCGACATAAGCGGAGTGTGTTGACTTCTGTCCTTGCTTCTTTGTTCCTAATTCCCGTAGCTCCGCAACTACATGTTTTGTGTGATGTCTGGTGTGAGTGAGTTCTTTTATCTGTGAGTTCATGTTGCAAGTTTAGGATTTGGGACAAGTTTGGGAGTCTTGATTGGAATTACTAATACCTTAAAACACGACTGGCGATGCATGTGCAACGTTGACCTGCAGCATTGCAAGAGGATCTCCATGTTAGTTTCTCGGAGCGCGGGTAAAATCCGGGTTATGAAGAAACAACATCACAGTCTCGATTTCAGCGCTCGCTGATGCAAGCTTTGGTGCATGTCAGACTCCTCTTGAATGGTAAACCACAAACTGAGAAAATCGAGCTGCCAGGAAGTCGCTCGCTCCAACCAACCCTAAGGCCCAAAACCCTAAACCCCTGTTAAACCCCTAAACCCTTCTTGCACAGACTTGTAGATGCCCCCCCCTTAACCCGAAACCCACAAGCTGCCACAAGCTTCTTGAAACCTTCAGACCCGGCCTCGCTCCGCGCGTGGAGACGCTGCAGGCGCAAGCTGCGAAGTTGGCTGCCGACGTATTCCTCAAGGTCGTTGCGATCTGAAACATCTCAGGCACCTATTTACATATTGGTCCGTTTTTCATTGCTAAATAAATAAAGAAACGAATAAATAAACATAAACAAATACAAAAATGTATGTATATTTACATGTTTATTTGATTTATATTGATATACATATATACACTTTGTATAAACGTACGACAGTGTCGGCGTTGGGGGGAGCTAATCCGTCTGTTCCACTTGCTCCACTTGTTCCGACCGTTCCACTCGTTCCACTCGCTCTACCGTTCCACTCGCCCCGTACGTTACCTGTTCCACTCATTCCTCGCGTGTATACAGAGCGAGTGGCGCGAGTGGCTCGAAGGTGGCAATGCAAACGACTTTAATTCTCCCCCCCCACCGTGCGGCCGCAATCAGATGTACAATACAACACAATGCAATATGATACAAGATAATGTAGTTGTATATGTAAAGTATATATGTGTATCTGAATGTGTATATAAATATGTATATATTATATACATACAAGAGAGAGAGGGAGAGGGAGAGGGAGAGAGAGAGAGAGAGCGAGAGAAAGAGAAAGAGACAGAGTCAGAGAGAGAAATACAAAGAGAAAGAGAACGAGAAAAGAGAAGAGCGCGAGCGAGAGAGACAGAGACAGATCATAGTCAACATTAATAATGATCCTGTCTCCGAGTCCTCTGAAGCCCTCCGCGCCTGCCAAGGCAAGGAGCCGCCCACGAGCACCTGCCGCACGCCGCCCCAGCGACGTCGCCGCAGCGGCCGTCAGCTGCCCTCGCCTTGTGGGTTTCGGCGCTCACAGTCGGACAATCCAACCGATAGGTTCGGGGGATGAAGGCAGAGATGAGGAGTGTGTCTGCTTTCACCTGCCCCAAAGACCCTGGCGGCAGGGAGAAAGCAAATCCACAGCGAGGAATCCAGGATAATTGCGCTAAATTCAACTGTTTGGAAGCTGCAAAGACATGAACAAATCAAGCGGAAGGCTCTTCGAACAATGCAGTGAAGGATCCCGGCACCATCAGTCCGAACGTGTATGAACAGATCGACCGCAAGCCCTATGCCATATGCGAGATACTGTGGATGTATCCGTCCCGCACAAGCAGATGTCCGCCCCGATGGAAACGGCCAAGCAGCTCCAACAGCTCGTCCGCGCAGCCAAAGGCCTGCCGAGTCAGTCGGAATGTTGATGAGCAGCTTCACACAAGTGCTGATTCTTGCGAATGCAAACCCACCTGGTCCAGTTCTGCAGCCCTAGGCCCTGCCGCCCTCTGCAGCCGCTTCCCCAGCTCGGCACACAGTGCCACGCCAGCTGCGGTACCCTCGCAGGCCTGACAGAAAGGCTGCGATCTACTGCTGCAGAAAGTCATGACATGTCTAGAATCGGTCTCCTGATGTAGGAGATCTGTATGCTGCGAATGTGTAAGTCAATAGGTCGCAGGGCACCGTCCAAGCAACTTTGACATTGTCGAGAAAGTGAACTCATCGCATGTTCAGGGATGAACGAAATCACTAGTTTACACAATCAGCCCTTTGATCTGTCCAGGTGTCCAACGTCGAGTTCCAGCTACCAGCCGCAACCCTGAACCCTTTTTGGCGTCCAGGCCTAAACCCTAAAACTAAGTGACGGAAAGCCTGGATAGCAAAGAGGCAGCTGGCAAGGTGATGGTCGTTAGGCTCCTGAGGGCCAGCAAAAGAGCTTGAAAGCAGTCCGCACCTGACATGACTGCGGCGACTTCAGTAGTTGTGCTTGGACCTCGCGTGACAGGTCCTGCTTGGCAAGGCTGCTCCACAACAGGATAGCCTGCAAGCGCGTGCGGCCCTGTTTTAAGAGTTGCATGCCTCGCTGAACGACGACGGTGGCCCGCCATGATTTTGCACTAACGTCGCTGCTAGAAGCTCGCCCTCGGGATCCGAGTTCCATATTATGCAACCGTCTTTCAAGGACATCTGCAATATCAGCACATTCATCGACGCTGGTGCCTCTTCCCAGAAGCCGCCGCGCCTCTTCTTTGCCAAACGAAAGGATGTCGAACAACTCTGAGCTTGCACAAGTCAAGAGCCGTTGCACTGACGACGGGATCGAACAAGGATTTCGTGATGGACAGCGTGACATGACATTCCTAATTGTTGAAAGGCCTGAAAAGCTTCCGTCCCCAATTGCAATGGACAAACGCCGACGCACATGGACTTGCAAGATTCCTTGTGTCGATCCGTGAGATATACAGAGACTACATTTCATCTGATCTTCCTGCAGATCGGATCTTGTGCCTGCATGCCGCAAGAGCAACTCCAAGGAACTTCCCATCGATTCTCAGCTGGAGGTCTCGCCTCGGCTCCCCGGGCCGGGCATGGCACAGATCTGTGCTGCACCGGTGCTTTTTCCGACATGACCCCGACGTGCACTACGGGCACTTGGCTGTAGTTGAGTCGGGATTGGAGAATCCGGCCCGGCCTGAAGAAGACCCACCTTCTAAGCATCACGACCCCTGACTGGCTGATCTGACGGCAAGGCACGCCTCCTGCACAAGGTCCAGTGCTATGCGGCCCGAGGCTCCTTCACAAGTATCGTCAGATTGGCTTCGGTCCCAGCCCCAAAGTGCCGAAGTACTTCTACAATCGCTCGTCTCGAAGCACGGCTCCTTGCTCGCAGGCATGAACCACGGCATTGTAACCTTGGTCTGCGATCGACGAGAACGCCACGGCTCAAGGGCGAGACCCATACTGCTCACAACTCAGTGTGGGTTTTGGGCCTCGCATAGACCGACGTGTGACAGGCCATGACGAGCCAACCCTTTGGGAGTGCAGCCAGGAAGCTAATGATGTTCGGCGTGACGCGGCAGTGCCTCATCCTGAGCCGCTGGGGCGTTGCGCAATGCCATAACGATCCAACTAATGGAAACCGACCTGCCATGTCCAACAAACAAGATACCTGTTTGTCTGCGAGGTTTCAAGATCGAATACCGACAACAGTGTAATCTGTTGCACGCTGACATGCGACCAGAGATGGCAGCCTGTGGATAGGGGTTTGGAGTCTTTAGAACAGTGGTAAAGAGCAAGATGCCCAGTGAGTACTTATCGGATCTTACCGGTACAATGTAGGGCATGGGCCTTGAGCAATATGCCCCTGGCATCCCCTGGCTGCTGAGCCGTCCCCAAGATGAGCCATGGAGCTCTGAAAGCAGCTCCAGTGCTGTTGGCCAGGGTGCAGCTGCCGCAGCCGCCAGGGCTGTGCCGAAGCTGACAACCTGAAACAGCACTCGACATCATGATCATTCGGCCTTATTTGCTTTGTGAAGGGAGGTAGCATGTATGTACAGCTTCAATGAGAACGCACCAGCTGCTTGATATGTATAGCGCATGTGCCAGTCTGTACGAATAGTGTACGACTGCTGACTACAGGTTGCCGGGGGACTCAAGTTTTGCAGGTTGGCTTTCCGGATCCTGCCCATATAAGAGCAGCACAAACGTCATGTCGATGCCTCTTACGACCATGATAGACCAACACAGTGCACGCTGTACTGAGAGAGGGTGAAAATGGCGAGTGGCATTCGGCTGCACACCGACTTGGAAAAGGAGTTGATGCAGTTGAAGGGATGCGGGCCATGCGGCGCCCTTCCTCAGCAGAAGGGTCCATCGACATGCATAGACAGCTGGCTGGCATGGTAGCTGACAGTGCTCCCCCGACTTCTCCTACAGGTACTCCCTGGGTACTCCCGTACCAGAGCACGAAAACAAACCACGCTGGGAAGGGCAATAGCGGTGCAGCACGAGGTAGCACAGACACAACAACACCAAGAGTGCCGATAACAGCGACTGGCCGTCACAGGGCGAACAGCTACCAGGGACTACTGCCGGAGTAATTGGTTAAGGAGGCATCACATAGCAGGATAGGACGAGGAGGAGGAAATTAAGCAGCGACAGCAGGAGTACTATATTAAGTGCTATACTACAACTCAAAAAACATTGATCAGGGCTCTCGCAGGCTGATGCTGCTGCGGCGAAGGAGAATGCATCCACCTCTAGGTCGGCCGCCCTGCAACGCCACTCGCTCTGTGGGATTTCGTGCAAGAACCCGATGACCGACGTTCACTGCGTGGCGATGGTGAGTCTGCACGAGTTCAGAGCTCCAAAATGTGACAGATGCTAACAGCATGAAAGTTCATGACGCTAGCTCCAGCACCTAGACAGCGAGACGGATAGGCCGGGTAGAACACCAAGCGATAAACACTAGTTCAAGTATGGCTCGGGGTCGAGGAGAATAGAACTCAACAACTTGAGAAACCTCAGAGCAGGGGACGTTCAACACGAAGCCCAAGCTCATCTTGTCAATGACAGGGCCATCAAACCTATTGTGCGAAATTGCAGATATTAGCCGAGGCCTTTGTCCCTCGCCTTGCAACACAATCGCATGCAACATGCTTGGCTGGCTATTGTTTCTCGCTGACTCGATCTGACGTGCTACCCTGTATGACCCACCAATTACTGTGCGAAATTCGTTGGCCTTTGGCCCTGAATAGCTTGGAGGAGTGCAGGGGAGCAGTGCTGCCGTCCGCTCAATGGCGCAGTATGGCACAGTTGCTTCTGGTGCGGCGTGCGCGAAAGTGCTTCGATCGTATGGCTCTGGTATTGACACTGTCTGGCTTTGTGCTGCTATCCTCACCATTCCGCACCCGCAAGCCACACATTGGCATTGCCTCATCTCCCGGAACAGCTCCAGAGCTGTGATCCATTGGCCCCCTGTCGAACGAGAGAGCTTCCCGGCACCAGGACCCCAGTCACCACAATTGGTAATGACCCATCGACCAGCCTCTGCTAGCAGGATAGAGCTCACTGACTCACAACCCATACTCTCTGAGACATCCGGCTGCATCTCTTGCGCTTGTCTATTCCAGCAGTGGCCTTTCTCACAGGCACTAATGGCAGCATTGTAGCAGTAGCCTGGCAGGGAAGGTCCCGATACATCTGACTGTAGAGTCGTGCGATGTCTCAACTCCGATAAGCGACGAAGTTGTGGGCTTCACCAAAAAAATGAGCACATCACCCTTCTCAGCTTTTACACTCGAGCGTCAATTGCCTCTGGACGCACATGTTAAAGCACAATGGTTTACAGCCGTGTCTAGTTGATTCCCAATGTGTCTCACTGAGTCCTGCTTCCTGCTTCTCACAGGATCACGAATCACGAACATCAGCTCCCGAGGCCTGACCCAAGCCCTGCAGCCTTGCGCCACGCTCCGCTGGATGGCCTCGCGAAGCAGCGCCAGCGCCGCTGGCCACTGTCGAGCCTCGGCCAGGGATAGTTCCTGTCCACTTGCGGTCGAAATCTGCGAACAAGTCACGACTCCTGAACCATAGAGCCTCAAGCTCTCCTTCAAGCTGCTCCAAAAGAACTCCAAAGATCTTCTCGAAAACGAGACAAGGAGCCTTGTCACAAGCACTGATTGCTGCGGAGAATGTCCTGCGAACAATCTGCCAGGCTCGAGTAGAAAACAGCAGATATAACAAAACCCCGCCTTCAGGCAGACTCTAAGACTCTAAGAGCGGTGCTTCCGGCTTCTCGGCCAGATAAACAATTTCTTTACTTCTACGGTGTTCGGCGTCAAACAACGGCATCCTCGCCTTGCCGCCTATTTGTGTATGCTGCTCCCTCCGGGCGTGAGCGACAGTCCTCTCATTCGGCGCAACCAGGTGCTCCTGCATGCCTCTGCCCAAAAATGCGTGATCAGGCGCCAGCTCAACTTGACGGCTGCGCCTAACCACTCCAAATACCAACTTGCACATCCCGTCTCATTAGTCTTGCAAGCGGCGGTGGAGAAGTTCGGAAGCCATGCGCCAGCGCCCATCTCCTGGGAACATGTGGCAATGATGTGCTCAGTCTGGGCAGCGAGGACCCAGAAATTCACATAATCAGAATAGGGCTGAATAGGGTTTTGGGTCCCATTATACTATAAATATAAGCTACCCCCCCAAGATCCATGCTTTCTTACTCTTTGGTGTGCTTTGACGGCTTGGGCAGTCCGCCGTGCGACTGCCTACGTAAATAAACGTGTGTGTGTGTGTATGTATATATATATATATATATATATATATATATGTACCCCCCCCCCAAAGACCAAGGTTTCTATATGAGCTTTAGATACAAGCCTACTTACACTAGCCGATAGTCGTTGGTCTTTGGGGGGGCAGGGTGCCAATAACAACCCTGTTAAGGTGTAGGGATAAACATGCATGACACAACCCCCTTGTGGTTTTCATACAAGCCTGCATACAATAATCCTTATACCATTTCCTGTCGCACATTCCAGGAGGCCTATTGAATTCAATAGGCCCTATTGAATTCAATAGGCCTTCTGGATTGAAGATTGAAGATTGAAGATGCCCTCGAAAAGTTTCCTGGGAGATCTTCAATCTTGAATCCGGGAGGCCTATTGAGTTCAATATGCCCTATTGAACTCAATAGGGTTTACCTTGAAATCGATCATGAGGGCCATACGTGGAAGTGTGAAAATTGGGTGCAGGGGTCAAAGTCTATCGCTGCGTTTGCGTACTTTGGAGTACACGCATATGGGTTTTAAGGGCTATGAAGAGAAAGTCATCAACTAGAAGTATGATAATACCTTTAAGCTTCCCTAAACGTATTCTGTTGAATTACGCCCAGCTTAATATCAGATAACACTACTAGTTTTATGCAACAAATGCAGTTGGAATACTAAGAAGATAAACGAGGGCTCAATCTATCGAACTGTATACTACTGAGGTATCAAAAGCACATACTTTAACGTCCATGTAGCTAGCAATCTATGCATGAATGTATATGTTCGATTCAATTATTGGAAAGACTACTAAATGCACCGTATTACTATAATACTTAGAACTGATTTGACATAAGTAAATAAACACTCCGCCTAAAGAGGTCCGAGGATCTGGCCTATCCAGCTGTTTGCGTACTTGTGAAAATAATATTCTACAGCTATATACTAAGCTACATCTTCATATAAGTATAACGTTGTCCCTACAGGCACTACTGTGAATATATTGCTTTCTGAGTTCTAATCGGCAGACAACAAACCCTCTATGCTATTTATATATGTAAATCTGACGATTGTTAGCTCAGCAAGCCCTATGCTTGAATTGATCCGAGGATTCAATTCAATCTACCCAATCATCTAATTACCACCATACAGAAGAATCATGTTTCTGCAGTCAGTAATCCGTACAAGTATGTCATTATCCCTGGGTGTAGTGATCTCATATGAAGCATTATAAATATGGTTGTCTGTCTGTTCGTGTTAACTGGCAAGGCACTTCATGAATAGCTTAGTTGTAGAGAGATTTCTTCAGGCTGCTTGGCTACTATTCAGAAGTATAGCTTCCAAGGTTCTATTATACTGCTCCTATTAAGCAGCTATCTGGGTAAATCGCAACAAGGAATCTCAAGCCATATCATTTGCAATTAGCAGTTAACAGACCCTGTAAATTCGATTGTATAACCAATTGCTGATTACTTAACCTTACTTTCCCAAGAATGAAATGGTGCATGCTAAATGGCAACACCGAGGTCTTATACTTAATAGGCATGTTTAAATTATAAGACGGTATGCTTGATATCTCAAACATATAGTCTAAGAATACATGCCTTTGTAGGGCCACATCTGTAGTAATTAACAAACCCCGGAAGTTCAATTCTATATTCAGCTGGCAAATAGTAAACCTTTTCTTTTCGCATACAATAAATGGTACACACTAAACGATGGCATCGAGGTACTATGCTTGGTAGGTGTTCTCAAACGTTACAAGTAGCTTGATTTCTTAAAACCAATAGTATAAGAGTAAATGTGTTTGTGGGGTTGACCACATACTACAACTGAAGCTAATAAAGCACACGGCATGGGGCGAGTTTTCCATACGAAGTAAGCCGCCAACAGAATATGGCACTTGAATGGAAAACGTTTTGGTCGTGATCCCGCGTAGAATGGCTCTAGGCGAGAAGCCAAAAAGCAATACCAACAAAAACCAAAAACAATACCACCAAAAGCAAAAAAACACTACCAAAAAAACATTATTTCAGTACTCTTCCAGAATTGCATTAGAATTCTATATTAATGGGAGCACCCACCAATGTTCTTATCTGAAAACCTTGGTCTTTGGGGTGGGGGGGGGGGGTAGCATATATATATATATATGTACATGTAAATGATACCTTATATGTATATATATATATATATATATGTAAGAGAAACCTTTCTGTACTATGTGATTGAACTCTGGTTTTCCTAGTTCTTCATAGTTTTCAGTTTTCAAAGTTTCGGCAGCAGGGTTTTCATAGTTTTCAAAGTTTCGGCGGTCCGAAAAGTTTGATTTCGGCCATCCGGCAAGTTTGAAAAGTTTGAAAACTATGAAAACGGTCCGACAAGCTTGATTTCGGCCATCCGGAAAGTTTGAAAACTTTGAAAACTATGAAAGCCGAATCCTGGTTTTCATAGTTTTCAAAGTTTTTATAGTTTTCATAGTTTTCAAAGTTTCGGCCATCCGGAAAGTTTGAAAACTATGAAAACTTTGAAAACTATTAAAACTATGAGAGCCGAATCCTGGTTTTCATAGTTTTCAAAGTTTTCATAGTTTTCAAAGTTTCTGCAGCAGGGTTTTCATAGTTTTCAAAGTTTCGGCCATCCGGAAAGTTGGAAAACTATGAAAACTTTGAAAACTATGAAAGCCGAATCCTGGTTTTCAAAGTTTTCATAGTTTTCAAAGTTTCGGCCATCCGGAAAGTTGGAAAACTATGGAAACTTTGAAAGCTATTAAAACTATGAAAGCTATGAAAGCCGATTCCTGGTCTTCATAGTTTTCAAAGTTTCGGCCATCCGGAGAGTTTGAAAACTATTAAAACTTTGAATACTATGAAAGCCGAATCCTGGTTTTCAAAGTTTTCATAGTTTTCATAGTTTTCAAAATTTCGGCCATCCGGAAAGTTTGAAAACTATGAAAACTTTGAAAGCCGAATCCTGGTTTTCAAAGTTTTCATAGTTTTCATAGTTTTCAAAGTTTCGGCCATCCGGAAAGTTTGAAAACTATGAAAACTTTGAAAACTATTAAAACTATGAAAACTAAGAGAGCCGAATCCTGGTTTTCATAGTTTTTAAAGTTTAGAAAATTTGAAAACTATTAAAGCTATGAAAACTATGAAAGCCGAATCCTGGTTTTCAAAGTTTTCATAGTTTTCATAGTTTTCAAAGTTTCGGTAGCTGGTTTTCATAGTTTTCAATGTTTCGGCCATCCGGAAAGTTTGAAAACTTTGAAAACTATGAAAGCCGAATCCTGGTTTTCAAAGTTTTCATAGTTTTCAAAGTTTCGGCCATCCGGAAAGTTTGAAAACTATGAAAACCTTGAAAACTATTAAACTATGAAAAATATGAGAGCCGAATCCTTTTCATAGTTTTCAAAGTTTTCATAGTTTTCAAAGTTTCGGCAGCCGGGGTTTCATAGTTTTCAAAGTTTCGGCCATCCGGAAAGCTTGAAAACTTTGAAAACTATGAAAACTATGAAAGCCGAATCCTGGTTTTCAAAGTTTTCATAGTTTTCATAGTTTTCAAAGTTTCGGCCATCCGGAAAGTTGGAAAACTATGAAAATTTGAAAGCTATTAAAACTATGAAAGCTATGAAAGCCGATTCCTGGTTTTCATTTCGGCCATCCGGAAAGTTTGAAAACTATGAAAACTTTGAAAACTATTAAAACTATGAAAACTAAGAGAGCCGAATCCTGGTTTTCATAGTTTTTAAAGTTTAGAAACTTTGAAAACTATTAAAACTATGAAAGCCGAATCCTGGTTTTCAAAGATTTCATAGTTTTCATAGTTTTCAAAGTTTCGGCAGCTGGTTTTCATAGTTTTCAATGTTTCGGCCATCCGGAAAGTTTGAAAACTTTGAAAACTATGAAAGCCGAATCCTGGTTTTCATAGTTTTCAAAGTTTTCATAGTTTTCAAAGTTTCGGCCATCCGGAAAGTTTGAAAACTATGAAAACCTTGAAAACTGTTAAGATGAAAACTATGAGAGCCGAATCCTGGTTTTCATAGTTTTCAAAGTTTTCATAGTTGTCAAAGTTTCGGCAGCAGGTTTTCATAGTTTCAAAGTTTCGGCAAAAAGTTTTCATAGTTTTCAATATCTCGGCCATCCGGAAAGTTTGAAAACTTGGAAAACTATTAAAACTATGAAAACTATGAAAGCCGAATCCTGGTTTTCAAAGTTTTCATAGTTTCATAGTTTCCTCAAAGTTTCGGCAGCAGGGTTTTCATAGTTTTCAAAGTTTCGGCCATCCGAAAAGTCTGAAAACTTTGAAAACTATTAAAACTATGAAAACTATGAAGCTGATTCCTGGTTTTCATACTTTTCAAAGTTTTCAGAGTTTTCATAGTTTTCAAAGTTTCGGCAGCAGGTTTTCATTTTCGGAAACAGGTTTTCATAGTTTACAAAGTTTCGGCCATCCGGAAAGTTTGAAAACTATGAAAACTTTGAAAACTATTAAAACTGTAAAAACTATGAGAGCCGAAATCTGGTTTTCATAGTTTTCAAAGTTTCGGCAGCAGGGTTTGTATAGTTTTCGACGTTTCGGCGGCAGGGTTTTCATAGTTTTCAAAGTTTCGCCCATCCGGAAAGTTTGAAAACTATTAAAACTATGAAACCTATGAGAGCCGAATCCGGGTTTTCATAGTTTTCAAAGTTTTCATAGGTTTCATAGTTTTCAAATTTTCGGCAGCAGGTTTTCAGTCCTGGTTTTCATAGTTTTCAAAATTTTCACAGTTTTCAAGTTTCGGCAGCAGGGTGTTCGTAGTTTTCAAAGTTTCGGCCATCCGGAAAGTTTGAAAACTATGAAAACCTTGAAAACTGTTAAGACTATGAAAACTATGAAAGCCGATTCCTGGTTTTCATAGTTTTCAAAGTTTTCATAGTTGTCAAAGTTTCGGCAGCAGGGTTTTCATAGTTTTTGAAGTTTCGGCAGCAAGGTTTTCATAGTTTTGAAAGTTTCGGCCATCCGGAAAGTTTGAAGACTATGACAACTTTGAAAACTATTAAAACTATGAAAGCTGTGAAAGTCGGTTCCTGGTTTTCACAGTTTTCACAGCTTTCCAAGTAATCGCACGTACCGTTCGTTTGCACCACACTGTATTTGGAGACGGTGATTGAGATGCTCGGAAGATCGTGTTAGTAAAACAAAACTTACCTTATCTTACCCTACCCTACCCTACCCTACTGTACTATATTACCTGTGGTCGCATACGACATTAAAGCATACTTTTCGATATTGTGCAGGTTTATACTACACATCATATTGCATACTTTTCCTTAGTATACGTGCTCTGATGCCATAATGCTGCCACTACTGATGGTACGAAGTAGTAGGGGCTAAGCTGAACTTCTGCAGGCCGCATCTGCTCGTGCACTCATGTCAAAAGCTGCGCCGGCTCTTGCATTCTAAACCCTCAAAGAGTACAAACATCTAGTTTCCGAAGCGCTACCCTAAATGCCGAAGTTGGAGAGTAACCCACGCAAGAGCTTCCAAATAGACCCATTTAGTGCCAGCCACATACTTGAACGGGCACGCATGTTCCAGAGTTGCAAGTCTATCATTTGTAGTGGTAAGGGGGCAATGCCACAAGACGCGGAGAAGCGTCGCACCCAGAGAGCTGAAAAAGCAGCAGCGGAGGGACGCAGGTTTGTGGCCAAAGGGCCACAAACCAAGGTCAAAGTCAAAAACCCTGCTCCGAAAGATGCTGCTAAGATGACCGTGAAGAAGAGCCCTGTATCCACCAGCGAGACGCAACCGTCCGAAGCCATGCAGTGGAAGCAGATGTACGAGCAGAAGTGCAGGGAGTTAGAGTTAGAGAAGAAGCACTACGACGAGTCCCGGAAGACGATGCGCGAGGAGAATTTGACTTTGCAGACGGCGAACTTAAGTTTGCAGAAGCAGTCCCTTGATTAACCGCATTGGCACTGCTTTGTCCAGGGCTGTTTTGTCCCATGAGTACCATGTCGATGTAGTGATGCCTCGGTTAGTCTTGCGCACGTGGGCGATGCACACCGGGGTTCCGTGGCTACCATGATGGCATCCTTTGAACTGTTGTTGTGTAGTTCAATGTAAGTCGAATATTTTGGCGTGCGCACACTTTGGCTTGCGATTGAGGTGCACACCACGGAGTAGTGCATTGTGAGATTGCAGTCGTGCTCACGCCACAGTTGGTGTGCATTTTGGAATCATGGGACTAAGGCTTACAGAGAAATCTACAGACTGCAAAACCCTCTATGCCAAGTTGATGGAAGCCAGGGGCAAGATCGCAGGATTGGAAGAATGTCGAGACAGCAGCAGTTCTTGGGGGGCAAGCAGAGATAGTAGAGGCAATTGGTGGACGAAGAAGTGGTAAAGCCGCCGAGTGTTTCACAAGCCAGCCACAAAGTGGCGTGACATTTTGAGGCACGCAAGCCTGTTGCAAACAGAGTATAGTGGAAACAAGTTAAGGCCTTGCGACGCGGGGGTGAAGATGCAACTGGTCTCGAAACAGGGTTGTGTGATGTTAAAGCCTGTTCTCAATTTTTGTGAGTCCTACCTGGCCGAACCCAGTTCGTTGTTTCTGCGTCTCTGCGTGTGTCTCGTCGCTGCTGTGTGTGGGGTCTCCCCCCAACCCATCCCACCACACGGCCAGGTACCCAGTTCGTTGTTTATGTGTGCCTGTGTATTTGAATATGCATGTACATATCATATACATTTAAAAACCGAAATAATCATAATAAGTATTCATCAGACCCTTTGATTTCCTTAGAAACGCGAAGGTGCGATTGGAAGATCCGGGAAGGAGAAATGCAGGATATAACTAGCTAGTAGCCTAAAGGATGACGGTCGTGCGTTTATAGCAGGAAGGTGTTCTGCCGCACCTCGCTCCAGAGCCTGTTCGTCCTAGTACACTGCTGCGCACAAGAAGTACTCGGGGCAAGGCGCTCATGTCATGTCCTTTCCTACAAGAAGTACCTTGACCCCTGAGCGCTCACTACTGACTCTACTAGTACAGTCTTTTGCACAAGAAGTACTCTGGCCAAGGCGCTCATGTACTGATATCAAGAAGTACCTTGGACCATGAGCGCTCGCTAGTTGACTAGTGGATAAGAGCTCGCCCGGGCTGACTACACTAGTACAGTCTTATGCACAAGAAGTACTCTGGCCAAGGCGCTCATGTACTGATCTCAAGAAGTACCTTGGACCATGAGCGCTCGCTAGTTGACTAGTGGATAAGAGCTCGCCCGGGCTGACTATACTAGCACAGTCCTATGCACAAGACGTACCTCGGACCATGAGCGCTTGCTAGTTGATTAGTGGATAAGAGCTGGCTGAGACATGGACCTTCATGTCGGTAGTGTGGACAGAGATGAGTTCGAGTAGGTGAGGAAGCCACTCGAGATATGGAATGGAGCACATGTGGTTTGGCATGAAACAAGCCTTGAGCGACTTTTGTAGGTCTTTGCCACGATTGCAGTCCCTAGGAAGTGGCGCAAATTGCCTGCCATCAACTTGGAATGTTGATTGGTGCTCCAGCAGCCGATGCAGTGGCTCGGGCTCCCTATCTGTGACAGCTGCAGTTTCCTTACCTGCCGCAGCCGGTGAAGTTGCACAGGCTCAAGCCCCAATACTGCGGCAGCAGCTGGAGTTGCAAACTCGACGGCGAAGAAACTGTTAAAGCACAGCTGGTCGGATAGTACGAAAACGCCATAAATACCGTGCAAAACGCAAGTGCTACCAAGAATAGAAAGTTTTAGCACTCATTAACACTTGAAGCGCAACGTTCCAATCAGTGGATCCTGCCAGTGGTTCCTGGCAGTGGTTCCTGGCAGTGGTTCCTGCAGTGGTTCCTGCCAATGGTTCCTGGCAGTGGTTCCTGCAGTGGTTCCTGCCAGTGGTTCCTGCCTTGCTGCCAGTTGTTCTTGGCAGTGGTTCCTGCAGTGGTTCCTGGCAGTGGTTCTTGGCAGTGGTTCCTGGCAGTGGTTCCTGGCAGTGGTTCCTGCCAGTGGTTCTTTGCAGTAGTTCCTGGCAGTGGTTCCTGGCAGTGGTTCCTGGCAGTGGTTCCTGCAGTGGTTCCTGGCAGTGGTTCCTGCTAGTGGTTCTTGCCAGTGGTTCCTGCCAGTGGTTCCTGGCAGTGGTTCCTGCCAGTGGTTGCTGCCAATGGTTCCTGGCAGTGGTTCCTTGCAGTAGTTCCTGCCAGTGGTTCCTGCCAGTGGTTCCTGGCAGTGGTTTCTGCCAGTGGTTCCTGCCAGTGGTTCCTTGCAGTAGTTCCTGCCAGTGATTCTCGGCAGTGGTCCCTGGCAGTGGTTCCTGCCAGTGGTTCCTGCCTGTGGTTCGTGGGAGAGGTTTCTTGCAGTGGTTCCTGCCAGTAATTTTTGCCAATGGTTCCTGGCAGTGGTTCCTGCCAGTGGTTCCTGCCAGGCAGCGGTTCCTGCAGTGGTTCCTGGCAGTGGTTCCTGGCAGTGGTTCCTGGCAGTGGTTCCTGGCAGTGGTTCCTGGGAGAGGTTTCTTGCAGTGGTTCCTGCCAGTAATTTTTGCCAATGGTTCCTGGCAGTGGTTCCTGGCAGTGGTTCCTGCCAGTGGTTGCTGCCAGTGGTTCCTTGCAGAGGTTAGTTCATGCAGTGGTTCCTGGCAGTGGTTCCTGGCCGTCCTTCCTGGCAGTGATTCGTTGCAGTGATTTCCTGCCAGTGGTTCCTGGCAGTGGTTCCTGTAGAAAAGAAACACTCACTTCGGAGATCATCCCGTCGCTATTACGGCATACAGCATGTTGGCTCGTGTGGTGCCATCCTGTTGCTCAATCTGATGCTACAGCGTTCGCTCGACCATTTACATACCGGTACGACTTGATTGACAGGCTGATGCCCAATAACCTATATGTACCGCTTGCTTACCAAGTTCATCGAATTGATATGTATGACTGTGTAAGTTCGCGAAGATGTTCATGCAAACGTTAGCAGGTGGTTGTGTCGCATTTCCAGGCACTCTGGTTGATGACGATGCTGCAGGACCTAGTCAGGCTACCTCTGCAACGTTGTGACGCAGTCATACCAGCATTTTGCAACGTTTGCGCAGTTTCCCGAAGCTGCACCTCAGTCGCCAATGCCACAGCCGCACTGGTTCTGAACCCTCAGCGACCCGTAACACACAACTCGTCCCAAAGTGCCTTGCAGGGATCTGAGCCGAGCGTTTTGATTTAGTTGGAGTGTCTGGCAACAGCAGAACTGTGCTTCGAGGCCTGCCATGGTGCGAGTGCGATTCTCGCAATGCCCCTGGTTCGCGGACGAGGACCATGAGTCGCTTGCCAAGAATAGATGTCGCATCGAAACGCCATCTACTGCCAGCTTTTATCGAGGACTTTCATTTCTCGCTCATGCACTTGGATCCTGCTCAGGTTTGTCTCCGGTCTTCAGTCGCCTGCCAGTACCTTGAGCTTACGCCTGAGTTTTAAGCATACCGGGCTGACTGCAATCTAAGCTGCGAGTCTGCCCTAGCAGCCATAGCGGCTGCAGGCACTACTGACCTTGGATGTCCTGTGGCCCAGCGCCGAAAGTGGTCCTGCTGCTCTGCTGAATCAGATATGTTTCACTCGACTGTCTAGCTATGTCAGTTCATGGGCATGAATCCTACAAGGGCGCCTCGATGATGGCGGACATTGGGTTAAAGACGCGCTTCCGCCTTGGCAAGCTCAGTTGCAAGTGACAACTCTATCCTGTGCGGGAGCAGCACGAGGCCAGACATGGTCGAGAACCTCAAGACGAAAACGGTTTTTGAAATGCCCCCCGGCACGACGCGTCGCAGGCAAGTTCTACTTCATGCATATAAATCAAGTTCCGAGGGTCAACGCTGCATCCGGCGAAGTCTTGCTGCCGAAGACGTCGTCGCCCAAGCGCCTGTGAACCACTGCGGTTGGACGCACCGCTTTGAGCATCTTAAGCTACACAGTTGCTGAGCAGCTGCGCTAGGCAGAAAACGTGCAACGAGACGACGCCGTTTCCTGGCAGCGCAAGGTGTGATCAATCCAGAGATGCATCGCACAGAGAGAGGTCGTATAAAGAGCGAGAAGGAGAGGTTAAATATGTCTGTGCTAATGCGATAGCAGCCCTGCAGAAATGCACTAAGGAGGCAGCTTGCCAAAGCAGTTTTGTCCATCCAGTACAAGATTGCAGCTGCCAGGTAACCAGGACTTAAAGCACAGTACAGTTTCAGTTCCGGCACCCGTGGCTTGCGAGGCAGTGGCAGACAGGGTGTGACTATCCAGGCGAGCATGTCTGCTGGGTACTCAGACTCCCAGCCAGCTGTGTAGACAGAACAATGTGATGCTCCGATTGCTCGCGTCTGCGTTGCAGCCTTCGAGGGGAAAACGTTCACTTCGGCAAGAAGTATTGTGGTCGTTGGCAGAAAACTGCCCCATGGAGCTACCAAGCTTTCATATACACCAGATCTCTGCAAGCGTCATGCCTGCCTGCTGATGGCTAGCAGCCGTATCTGTTGGACCGATGCTTAGGCGACGGCTTCATGAAGACGCTGGTGGAGAAGATGCGGTGGCGAAATCAGAGCGAGAAGTTTCGCTGTTCGATATGGCCACAATTTCTTGCAGATCAAAAAATGGCATCACGAGGTGCGATTATCTTAGCTGCGTTCGCTGGTAAGTACCCTTGCTGCTTTTCTTGACAGCTCGGTTCTGATTGACAGGCACTGCCCGCAAGTGCGGGCCAGTGAAGATGCCATCGCGAAACAAGCTGACCAGGCTAGGGCTATAGAACTCGATCATTGAACTCACTATCCGATAGACAGTACACCTTGCGTGATCTCTTTCACGTCGCAGGAGCCAACAGCAGCTCCAGGCAATCATGATGCAGCAGCCGCCAGAGCGTGGCTTCACTGCTTTCACAAGTAAAGCAATATATGGTCAGAGCCGTGTCAGGTCTGCGTCT